GGGAGAGAGAGAAAACGTGAGAAACACCCCCCAGTGGAGATGACCATGGCACAATCCCTTCTCCTTCACTCTCTGCTCAGGATTTTGAGCACTCACACCTGCCCAGGGTGTTTCTCAAGCCACTTGGTCCAGGTGGAACTAGGTAGTCAGCCACATGGGATACAGTCACCCTGACCGCCATGCCATCTGGCTGGCCCTGGAAAACACTGATTTCACATGAACATTTACAGATATATTTGGGACTATCTTTTTGAACTCAGAAATAACATTCTGTAAACTGTAAGGGAACCTAAAAATATAGTGAAAAAAGTCATTACATCAACCAACACCAAATGTAACAAGACATCAAAACCCTTCTGTGAAAGTGAGACTCAGCATGTTTTGAGCTGTTTAATTTACCTCGGACTGATGGCCACTTGCTACCACAGGGACTTGCAACACCTTGACAGTTCTTTAATTTCACAATTGGAAAACATTGATATTTTTGTTTGTTTTTTAGACCACATATGGGGAAATTCTATGATGTCCTATTTGTTGGCTGTGTTCTTATCTTGGTCTATATATTGACAAGAGAAGACCACACTCTACCAAGACCCATATTGGTGAGATAGTAGAAGACTAGAAGTATGTCACTATAGAGTGTATTCTGTGTATTTCCACAGACACAAATTGTCCAACACTTGAAGTAAGGATTAAGTGAATTTTTCTAGATGTTCGTTATCTTGTTCACCAAAGACAATAAATTTATGATTTAAAGGGATTTCTTGATACCCTTTGCTCTCTCACTTTTTTTTATAAATGGTTATATATCCCTATTAAAAACAACAACAACAACAACTCTTTGAAGGAATAAAAATTAGGGTAAAATTCAGGAGTTTTTCTCCCTTTTTTCTCTCTCATTTCTTATGTTTCCATTCTTTTCTTTCTCCCTCGCCTTCTTTTCTCATTCTTTTGGCTGACAAGCTGTATCTAAGCTCCCAAACTCTACTCTCCAAATTCTTTCTCTGCAATTCACCAAGAGGTGAACAGACCATGAAATATCTTTGTTTCCATCAAATCAGAACTGTCAACTCGTGTGGGCAATGTGTGTTGCAAGGAAACATTTATCTTAGAAATATTTTTGTGTATGCCAAACAGAGAAGAAATTATTTCTGAGTTTAAAAATAGTCAACACAACTTGGAAAACATGGTAATATTTATTTATCATAATAAATGCATTTTAATAGACGCCATGGATGTCCAAACACAAACTGAATCATGACAACCCAATGGCCTCTTTTTAACAAAACCCTGACAGGTGCCATTAACTTGCTAATTGATATGAGTACGGAGAAAGGATGAATCAAAAACACTAAAATCCCTTTAAACACACCATCTAATATAGATATCAACTCTAGAAATGGCATTTGAAATGATCCCTTCCTTTTAATTTCATCTGCTAAGTTTTTGTTAAAGTACCTTCACAAATTTCTTTAAAGCTTTGTTACTTATTTCAGTAAAACACTACAAGCACTTCGGCTTGTCTTTCCATAGAGGGCTAAAGTCTGTCACATTAGAATCAATAAGGAGGCATATGATGTCATTTGTAAAGACATGGGTCTCAAAGGGCCACTGTAAATATCCTATAAACCATATGGAATATAGGTTACATATGGCATGCCATATATATAATGGCCAAGTAGAAGAAATTATATACTAACTTAATTTATAATTGTTCCTAACAACCTCAGACTTCTTTTCGATTAAACCTATCTACCTACCTATCTGAAAAAAAAAAAAAGTTACTAATTTAATGTCCATTCTTCAGTACCATCAAACTGGTTGCTTAAAAAACTGCCACTTTCCAAAAATTCACCTCTTTCTTTTCCAGGAGTCATGTGGATTCATTTAGTATCATCTGAAAATCAAATAAACTGCAAGAATTTGTAAATACGATTTTCTTATCATCACATATAACATAGTTATTCTCTTGCACCTTTTCAATCATATCAGAATATGAATACTTTTTTAAAATGTTAAGTTTTATAAATAAAATCCTAAGAGAAAAAGGCACTCAATTTGTGCACATGGTTATTTTTCACAATCCTTATCAAATGGAATGGATCTCTGGCCTACATACAAATACTTCAAAAAGTCAGAACAAAATGAAATCAGAGGGCTTATGAAAACAAGCAAGGGTGAAGAAGCCAGCAGCGAGGTGGTTAAAGTGGCTGGATACCACATGGCTGACGGCCTGATTCAAGTCCTGGACTGGCCACCTGAAAGTATGTGTGGTACACACGTGCCCACCACATGGCTGACGGCCTGATTCAAGTCCTGGACTGGCCCCTGAAAGTATGTGTGGTACACACGTGCCCACCACATGGCTGACGGCCTGATTCAAGTCCTGGACTGGCCACCTGAAAGTATGTGTGGTACACACGTGCCCAGAGTCCTAAAAGGAGGGAGAAAGGGAGGAGAAGGGATTGTGGTGCTACCATTCCCTCTCTTACTTTCCCTCTCTCTTACTATGTGTCTTTCTGGCAAGCACACGTGCCCTCTGGCAAAAGTTAAAACAAAACAAATCTTGGAACACCAAATATACCACATCAGTAGAAAATTCATTTTGAGACTTCTACTGGACATCTGAAGAGTGTGTTGTTATGTCAAGTACGGGACAAGCACAGGCTACTAGGGAAACTCCCTTCATTTATTGACTAAAAAGCCAACACAGTCGTCATAACAGTAAGGCTTGAAAAGGTAATTAAATGAATGATAACAGAAATCTCAGCAGGGAAGTGTGCATTAATTGAATTTATTTGGGAGGATGTTTTCACAAGTATAACCAAATGATCTAATTTTCACTCACATTAAAAAGTGATAAGCTAGAACCACTAATTACTGGAAATGGAGGAGAAGGCCCACATTTTGAACCACTGGCACAGAAGGAAGCAAAATTGCTAACATTAAAAGACTGCCATGGTGTTTAACAGCTTCCTAAAACTTTCATTTTTTTCCCTCTGAAAATATTTCAGTGAAACTCGCCAATGAAAAGAATCCCAGTAATTTCTACCTAGCAGTGTCTTTAAAGCAGGAACACATTTTCCATGTTCTTTGTATTCTTTCTCACGAGTCAGTACGCACATACCCAGAGGTCAACCCGCTGCTGTACAGTATGTCAGAGATATATCAAAGTTCGACTTCATTTATGAAGGGAAATTAGTGCCATCCTGTTTTCGTTCTTAGTATTACATATGGTAATAGTTTTAAAAATTTGTTGCTATTTTCAGATTGTACAACTCAAGAAGTGTAAATTAAAGCATCGTTCTGGTCAACTTGTAAATTTGAAGTGCAGTATGAGATCATCTATAAATTTTGAACTATCAACAAGATGTCACCAAACTGAATATTTTTAATGCTTTGGCAAATTATATCCCAATTCGCATAAAAGTTAATGAGAAATTTTGTGATATATCTGTGGTAGTCAATTAGATCTTGTTTACAGTCAATACTTTTAATAAAAATTTATAAATATGAAATCTGTCACTTTTATATTACTAACCCCGTACTCTGAAACATCAATCTCTTGATAAACAACTTGTATTAATTTTATATAATAGCAAAATAAAACAAAGTTCATTTTTTCTTAATGTTTGTATAAATTCTAAGATGCATATTTGCAATTTAAGCTGGGGCAGGGGAATATAAATGAACAAATAATAGCAAAAATATTCCTTCAATTTTGTTACTTTTTTCTAAATAAAATTATCAACTGAATAAATACATTTTAAACAATGGTTAAAATTGAATAGCAATATTTAAAACTCTTCTTGCATTTACAAATTATGTTTCAGCTTTAAAAACAGTCCTTAATGTTCTGTTTCATGTGGGCCATCATTTTACATTCTGGACACTAGAAGCTGGAATTACAAAGCTATCAGCTAACACCCATTCGCTATGTCATCATCATGTGATGAGAACAGCAGGAAAACCTAGGCTGCCTCATCCTCCACAGGTTGAGACTACCATCGTTTTGAGCAGAGTGGGGCTATGATTTGTTTTCCTACATCGGTTCCCTAAATTCATATGAAGATGTCAGCCATGGTAACAGGTAGATAGGCTGACGGTAAAACGTAAAGCAATAGGTAGATATAGATATGAATATGGCCATTATCAAAACATGATGGAGTAGAATGTTTGATTTTGCCAAGGAAAGAAAAGCCTATGAAAGTATTCACTCTTATTTTGTCATTTCTATCTCTGTTTTTATAGTTTGTTTAATAAATATAGTAAAGACAATGTTCTGATTAAACAATATTTCAGATGCTAAACAATTCTTTTTATTGGTTTACACTGGCAGTTCACAGTCTAAAAGCATAACCACATCAGGCAAAAACTGCATGGAGACCGCTCTGGATTTTGAAGACCTTTTGTTTCTAACAGAGACTTCTTTCCAATTATGGAGCAGTATCTACATTTTACCAGTAGCGAATAATTGGGAGGGAGAATTACAATAGGAGAAATTCCTTGAAATAAGATCTTTTTCATCTTTTTTTAGTGTCTTGCTCTGCATTTTTAAATTCTCTTAGAGGATAACTTCTATCCATTACTTTATGATAGTTTAATCACCCTTATATTATAAACCTAGCTATTTTCATTCTGTGAAATATTGCACATTTATTCCAATAGACCTTTCTCTCGATGAACCGAATTGCTAACTGTTTCTAATCAAAAAACAATTGCACTTTATTTCTACAACATTTTCACCTAAGAGGAATTTAAACATACAAGGCTAATGTATTTCATGATTTCCTGGAGCTTATAAATTCATCATGTTAAAAAGGTTTATCTTTGATGAGAATTGTCTTTAGACACACAGTTGTGTTTTCTGTGGAAGTTCTCTATATGTCTTCAAAAACCTGACTGGTCTAGAAAAATTATTTTTTGAGACAATCATGTTTCATTTGTTTTTTTGTTTGTTTGTTTTCTAAAAAAAGAAGACAAAACAGCAATAAACATTTTAGCTCTTTAATGAGCAAAGATCATGTCTCTTAGCATTGGACTAATAGTCATTATCCAGATTATCTTTATTTCACGCAATGACCAGTGACATGGCCAAGATGTACAAAGTTGTTTCCATCAAGTAGTATACAATTTTTTTTTTTTGTATAATAAGCTTTCATTCTTGAAAAAGAGTAACTGAAAAGAAAGGTTTCTGTTACTGCAGTTAGTTTGTCAGAGAAAGTTCTTGGCGTTATCTTACAAACTATCAAAATTGCTAGTCATCTGAAAAAATGTAAAAAAAAATCACATAACTTTAGTCTAATAGAAATATAATACAGGTAAGAGAGAAAGTATTTATCAGGATGTGCTCTTTAAGTCCATCTCACTTTTTTTTAATATAAATGTACATCTGATTACATATACAAACATTTGGAAAGCTCAGTGATATACTGTTACCGGTAAACAACAGGGGGATGAAGAGTTTCCTGTGGTTTTAGAATATTCGTTGAAAATCGCAGAGACGTGTAAGACTAAAGCCCTCCAGGTATTGACTCTCCTAGGTTCTGTAGCTACTCGTACTCTACTGAGATCGCATGAGGAAATCCAGTGAGTGGACCTCAGTGAGAAAGGTAAGTGATGTGAAGTGGGACATAACTTTATACTGAATTATTAGTAAACATTTTGTCATGCAACATGAGAAAATCAATTAACTGAGAACAGGAATCAGCGTGGTAATACTGGGGCATCCTCATATCGTAGAATACTGTTGCAAGAACTCTTTGGACACACTTTACCTTACCGAGGAACAAAACACAGAATAACAAAAACCACAAAAAAGTAGAGATCCTGTAAATATGTCTAATTAGGGCTATATGCTTATAAATTATTTAGGTGGGAATAAAAAGAACATTAGAAACACAGGAATTTTTTTTTCTGGGATTCATATCAGCGAGTATTCACCACTATACCTATAGTTTCTTCAAATACCTTTAATAACTAATTCTTTCTATTATTGAAACTACTGTGAATTATTTTATTATAATTACTTTTGCCCCTTAAGATCTTCTTTAGGTTCTGCCAATTGATGGAGGAAGCTTCTATTAAAAACTCCAATGGGATGAGAAGAATTTTAATTACGGCTTAATCAGCAGCAACAGCCACCAAGCATATAAATGATCATGCACATCGTGCTAAAAATATCCAGTTTCCTTTATCCCCACAACTTTATACTGACAGCACTGATGTGATAATGGTGTACCTGCCAGTCTTTACACTTCTTTGTTTTACTGGCACATTTCAGTATGAGCCTCTGCTAAGGCCATTAACAGCACTGGTGCTTTGTGCACTTTTCCAAATATGTAAAGAGGGTCTACACAATAAAACGGCTCCAAATAAAAACTGGTGGAAATTATCTGACATTCCATTGGTGTGTCCCTTGTGCATATTCATAGTTGTTTTGTAATGGTTACTTTTCTTATTTCAGACATACTTCTTTCCTGTTTGTTGCTCCACATGCCTAATTTCATTCTGTAACTTAAATCTTCAAAAAATTAATTCTTGAATGTGAATGAAAAAGTATCATTCAGAACAATTGCTTCAAGCAATTGAAATTCGTTTCTAAAGTTGATTTGTGTATATATATGTACAATTCATATTTTTCAAAACCCCCAAAGTGCTTGATATGTATATTCACATAATAGTTCTCCTTATTTAAATAGTAAGAGTCTTGTAGGTTGAAAGCCAAGGAATCTTCAGTAATCTTTTACTGCAATCCATCAAAAAATAGAGTTTGTTTCTCTTATCTGGCTATACCCTGGTTGTTGAATGTGAATGAGGGTGGGGGTGGGGATGGGGCAGAGTGTTGTTCTGTCCTCCGGTGAATGTGTTGAATGTGTGTAAGGGCTGAATCCCCGGTATGGTGTTGGGGATCATTGTAATGGTGTTGGGTGTCATTAAGGGAACATCGTCAGGTGACCTCCTCATAGCTAGTGTATAATCTGGGGGGCAGGCGGTCCGAAGAACCACCTCATGTGGATGGATGGACTCACATTCATGATCCAAATCAGTGTGCTTCATTTGTAGGGACATGATCTCCTCTTCTTGTGCATGGGTCAGGTCGTTGGTGGTGGTTCGCTGAGGGCTGCATCTCCTGTGAACGTCATGTCTCCTCTTATCTTTTTTGTAGTACAGGGCTGCAAAGGCCAGGATGTTCAGAAACAGCAGGGATGCTCCCACCGCAATGGTGACGCTCAGCTCTGTGGAGTAGTCCCTTTGGTCCACGGAAAATGGACTTGGTTGTTGTTTGGGATCATCCTGCTTGGCAGTGGGAAAGGCTGATGTGACAGGGACCGAATTTTTTCTCGTAGGTCTGAAAGTGATGTCTGTTGATGGCACTTTAGTAGTTGTCGAGGTATACTGAGAAATGTCATTGAGATTATGCAGATGAGGCACCAGCTCCAACCAGAGGTTCACCTTATTGGCCCTGTAATGTTCTTTAACTCTTGGTTTTAATCCAATGTGGAGATAAAGTTGGTCCTTCTGGGAATACCTGGTCCATGCTACTTCTTCAAAGCGGTTGGGTTTGGTGTGGATGAATTTCGTGTCTTGAGGAACTGGTTGATTTGGGTCACTAGGAAAGAAAAGAGAGAATATGAGAACAAAATTGTTTTATCCTCGTCATAATTAAAATATTACTGGTTAAGTATTGATAGAAGAAGTGACTCAGCAAGTCTTTATATTGTGTTTTAACATGAACTTGGATCAATTTAGAAATACAAATCTCAGAATAGGTAGCGATACGTGGGTGACAACATAAGGCAGGTCAGTTTTGCATTCTTGTTCTCCCCATCCATTTAGAGATGGTATAATGTCTACTTAACTACTTTAAAAATAATTTAAATATTAATATAGATCCGATTGCTTGAGAGCAAACTAGCAGATATGGCATGGAATAGTAGAAAGGAAAAGAGGTTTGGCATTGGCAGATGGAGGGCTGGGTCCTGGCACTACTGCATGCTGGATGTACGAGCAGCTCTGAAGCTCTAGGATTCTAGAACCCTTCCCTCTCAATGGGATTAATAGCACTTTCCCTGCCCACCCCACAAGGTAGTTGGAAAGATGAAAGA